AAGCCACAACAACGGCTATTTAGACAGAAAACCCCCCAAAACAAAACAAAATAAAGAGGAAAAAAAAAAGAAAGAAAGAAAAACCATAAAAGTCACGATCTCCATAAACCTGAAGCTGGCAGAACAAGAAACCCTTTCAAGCGAAAGTGGGGCAGCGAACAGGAAAGAGGTAAACGATAATGATAACATATGGACGGGAGACACGACAGAACAACACAGAACAAGGGGAACAGAAGCTTCAAAGCAGGGCCATTAAAAAAAACCAAAAAAAAAAAACCCAAACGATTCTTAAAGGAACTATCGAACCTTACACCATTCTTTTTGCAAAGTATACAGCTTTAAAAAAACAATTTTCGCAAGAGTTTTACGTCACTCGCAACACAATAAGGTCATATAAGTGCCGAAGATTAGAGGTGTTACAAGAGAGATACAAACACAAAAAAAGAAGAAGGAGAGATAAAGACGATAGATGTTTGATAACAAAGAAGAAGCAAACCACACCAAAGCACCCGCCAACCACCCACGAAAAGGAAAGAGGTAAACGATAATGATAACATACGGACGGGAGACACCAAAGCACAACACGGAACAAGGGGAACAGAAGCTTCAAAGCAGGACCATAACAATAAATTAAAGCGATTTTGTGAGGAACTCTCCAACCTTACAACATTCTTTTTGCAAAGTTTAGAGGTTTTTTAAATATTTTTTTTCGTAAGAGTTCCACGTCATTTGCAACACAATGAGATCATATAGGTGCCGAAGATTAGAGGTGTTACAAGAGAGTTACAAACACAAATAAAAGAAGAAGGAGAGATAAGAACGATATATGTTTGATAGGAAAGAAGAAGCAAACCACACCAGAGCACCCGTCCACCACCCACACAAAGGCTTTAAAGCAGGACCATGAAAATTGTTAAAAAAGCGATTCTTAAAGGAACTTTCGAGCCTTACAATATTCTTTTTGCATAAGTTCAAAGCTTGATCTAGATAATACTATTATGTACAATGACATAAACATTCTTTATTCAGATCGCGGAAAGAAATTTGTCTGGGTCTTTTACAAAAGCAGCGGTGTCGCAAAGTTCCAAAGTTCACGTCAGTCTGCATAATT